GCTGGGATTACAGGCGCATGCCACCACACCTGGATAATTTCTTGTATTTTTAGTAGAGATGGGGTTTTCCCATGATGGCCAGGCTCATCTTGAACTCCTGACCTCAGGTAATCTGCCTGCATTGGCCTCCCAAAGTGTTGGGATTAGAGGTGTCAGCCACTGTGCCTGGCCTCATGTATTTTTGAGATAGGGTCTCACTCTGTCAACCAGGCATACTTGCATGGCTCACGGCTGCTCGAACCTCCCAAAATCAGATGATCCTCTTAAGTAGCTGGATTACATGAATGTGCCCACACACCCAGCTAGCTTTTTTTGTATTTTTTGTAGAGACAGAGTTTTGCCATGTTGCCCAGGCTGATCTTGAACTTGTGGGATCAAGTAATTGGCCCACCTTGGCCGTCCAAAGTCCTAAGGTTACATTTCATTTCATTAAATAGCTTAATGAGAGTTCTGTATTTTTGTATCTACTGAATGATTTGGTGACAGAAGTTTGCATTGCTTTTACCTATTACCTTTCAGTAACAATGCTGCAATAATTATGCAAAAGTTAATGAATGTGCTGCCTTCTGTTTCATTAGTCTACTTTTTCAACTTTTTACTCATAACAAATTATTTTAATTCTGTAGCTTTTTTATGTGTTTTGAAATCAGAAATGGTAATGCCTCCAACATTGTTCCTTTTTTTGTAGATTGTTGGGTAGTTTATTGTCTCTTTAGATTCCATATACTTTTGGATTTGTTGTTTGTATTTCTTCAAAAATGCAATGAGACATTTGAAAAACATTGCATTAAATCTGTAGATTAAACTGAGCAGTACAGACATCTTCACAATATTATTTCTTTTTCAATTGTTTGTTTTTGAGATGGAGTTAAATTCACCCACGTCGGCCTCCCAAAGTGCTGGGATTACAGGTGTGAGCCACTGCACACAGCTCAGTTTTTTGAACAAGTGCATGCTCAAGAGCGTGTTTTATCATTTCTATATATTTGTAAATTTATCAATTATTTATATTATTGTTTTATACTGTAATTCCATTTTTGTCATAGAAAGTAGTCTATAAAATTTCAGTTTTAAAAAATGTGTTAAGGCTTCATTTTTGGTCTAAGAGGTGGTCTATATAGGAGAATTCTCTATGAGCTATTGAGAAGGCTTTGTATCCTGATGTTGTTGAGGAGTGTTCTCTTTATCTTCATTAGAAATAATGGTTTTTGGCCGGGCGCGGTGGCTCAAGCCTGTAATCCCAGCACTTTGGGAGGCCGAGGCGGGTGGATCACGAGGTCAGGAGATCGAGACCATCCTGGCTAACATGGTGAAACCCCCGTCTCTACTAAAAATACAAAAAACTAGCCGGGCGTGGTGGCGGGCGCCTGTAGTCCTAGCTACTCCGGAGGCTGAGGCAGGAGAATGGCGTGAACCTGGGAGGCAGAGCTTGCAGTGAGCCGAGATCGCGCCACTGCACTCCAGCCTGGGTGACACAGCGCGAGACTCCGTCTCAAAAAAAAAAAAAAAAGAAAGAAATAATGGTTTTTTACTGCCTTCTAGTCCTCTGTTCCCTTACTAATATTCTGTCTTGTTTTATTATTATTACAGAAAATGAAGGATTAAAATATCCTACTATAGTTATATTGCTGTCTGTGTGTATTCAATTTTGTATTTGCTTTATATATTTGAAACTCTAATATGAGATGCATACATGCAAATACACACATGTATAAACAAATTTGTCATAGATTCCCAGTGAAAGAATGCATATGTTGTTTAATGCCTTCTTTGTCTTCTTGAAGTTTTGACTTAAAGTACGTTTTATAAAATATGACAGTTTCTTAGTTAAGATATAGCTTGTGTAATATTATTTTGAGCCCTTCTGCTCTCATTTGGTTAATATTTACATGAAATTTCTACTTCCGTCTTGCCACTTTCAGGCTTTTTTTTATTATTAGATCTCAACTGACTCTTGTAAAAAGGCAAGTTGAATCTTGATTTTTAAAAATTTTTAATAATCCTTTTTATTTAAAGTGTGTCTCTTAATTGGAGAGATAATTATATATATATTTAAATAGTTTTCTGCAAAAGAAAAACTTGTTATTTTATTGTTTTATTTGATTCTTGTGTCTTTGTCTCTCATTTTCTTTTTCTTTTTTGTTTTTTTTTATTTTTGTATTGACATGCTTTCAGTTTCTTTCTTATTTTCTTTTGTGTATCTGTACAGACATTTTCTAAGTGATACCTTCTTAGTTTACATAAAACCTCTACAAGATCCAACAATATATTTAAATGTGGTAAAAAATCAACTTAAGTTTCATACAAAATATTTTCATCATTACATCTGCCTTCACTTTGTTATTTGGCTAATTATATTTTTTATATTTGTATATTCATTAACAGATGTTTGTAATAATTTCTGTTTTTTTAATTAATAATTAAAAATGTTTTCTGCACCATTATGGTAATGTTAAGTAAGAAATTCCATTTTTGTTTATGTGCATATGTTTCCCAGAAAGTTACATATTTTCATATGATTGTGTGTTGTTTTCTTGCATTATGTTGTTTTCAGTGGAAGAAACTCCTTTCAGTATCTTTGATATATAGGGCATATGCAGTGCCAATGTAGGTTCTCAGGATTTGGTTATTTTGGACGTACTTATTCTTATTTGGTAGTACAATTGTGGTGATGGTATTATTCTGACTTGACGGCTTTTTTATTATTATTATTATTATTATTTTAACTTTAACAATATCACAGTTTCGTTCTCAACTGCAAAAAATATTTTTCTAAATTGACTTGTTATCTCATGAGACTATGCTTGTAAATGACACATCGTTTTTATCTTACAGCTCCCAAAATTCTCTAATCCGTGATTTTTGAAATTTTGCTTGTATGTATGTTTGTTATAAATATCTTTGTGTGTATCCTAGTTTGTTTGTTCAGCTTCCTCATGTTTACCTCATTTTTAAAGAAATTTTCCAGTTTTTAAATATTTTTTATATCCACAATTTTTGTTTTTTGCTATTTAAATGTTTCTGGTTGTTATTCTCATTTTTCTGATCTTTGGTAGTTGTCTGTGTTCCTACTTGCTGAATATTCAACTTATTTTATTTATTTATTTATTTTTCTGAGACGGAGTCTCTCCCTGTCGCCTCGGCTGAAGTGCAGTTGTGCAATCTTTGTTCACTGCAACCTCCGTCTCCCAGGTTCAAGCAATTCTCTTGCCTCAGCCTCTCAAGTAGCTGGGATTATAGGTGCCTGCAACCACACTTGGCTAATTTTATGTATTTTTAGTACATATAAGGTTTCACCATGTTGGCCAGGCTAATCTTGAACTCCTGACCTCAAATTATCCACTCACCTCAGCCTCTCAAAGTGCTGGGATTACAGGCATGAGCCACCATGCTGGCCCTATTTTATTATATTTTTCAGACAGTCTTGTTCTGTTGCCCAGGCTGGAGTGCAGAGGTATAATCTTCACTCACTGATGGGGCCATGTTGCTCTAATATTTTGTATTCACTGTAATCTTTGATTGAGATTTGGACATTAACAAAAAGCTACCTGTTAGAATCTTTAAAATATAACTATCCTGACATAGTCTGAAATCAGTTGTCATGGCTAGAGATTTTGGGAATTTCTCAAACACGTTTTTAGGATGTGTCTTGTCTAAAATTTTGTGTTTATTGTTTAGTTAAATTGGCTTTTTCATATTTCTTCTTAATAGTAATTACTTGCTCTACCTATTCCCTGTTTGGGGTAGGGCAGTATCTCTGCTTCTGTAACATTTATCTTTAGACGCAGCAGACTCAAACTGTTAATCCAACTTATATCACCATTTCCTTCAGCATTTTATGTCATGGGAGACATTTACCAGTGTCTAGAAAAACCCCTAAAAGCCAAAAATAAAGATGTATGTGCCAATATTTTTCTTGTTTTTTAAAAAATAAACCAGGATTTGGCAATTTACGTGTGTGTGTGTGTGTGTGAGAGAGAGAGAGAGAGAGAGAGAGAGAGAGAGAGAGAGAGACAGAGTCTCACCCTGTTACCTATGCTGGAATTCAGAGGCATGATCTTGGTCACTACAATATCTACCATTAGAGACTCTCACTCTATCACCCAGGTTGGAGTGCAGTGGCATGATGTCGGCTCACTGCAACCTCTGCCTCCTGAGTTCAAACAATATTCTGCCTCACCCTCCTGAGTAGCTGAGATTACAAGTGCCTGCCACCACACCTGTCTAATTTTTTTTTTTTTTTTTTTGAGACGGAGTCTCGCTCTGCCGCCCAGGCTGGAGTGCAGTGGCATGATCTCTGCTCACTGCAAGCTCCGCTTACTGGGTTCAAGCAATTCTCCTGCCTCAGCCTCCTGAGTAGCTGGGACTACAGGCGCCCGCCACCTCGCCCGGCTAGTTTTCTGTATTTTTTAGTAGAGACGGGGTTTCACCGTGTCAGCCAGGATGGTCTCGATCTCCTGACCTCGTGATCCGCCCGTCTCGGCCTCCCAAAGTGCTGGGATTACAGGCTTGAGCCACCGCGCCCGGCCATCCTGTCTAATTTTTTGTAGTTTTAGTAGAGACAGGGTCTCAACATCTTGGCCAGGCTCCCTTTGAACTACTGACCTCATGATCAACCCATGTCAACCTCCCAATGTGCTGAAATTACTGGCATGAGCCATCATTCCTGACCAACAATTTACTTTTAAAGGCACAATGTTATACTGGAGAGCAGGAAGAGCTCTGCTGGGTATAAGTAACAGGCTTTTCTTTTTATTCTGTGTGGCTCTTTGCATTGTGCTCACCTGGGGCCCTTCACACACTTAATTGTAAATTTTTTACAGATGTATTTTGGGCAGTATGTTTGGTTAAATTTTTATGTCTAGGAAGAAATTACAGCTTGTGATATTTTACTATGTCATCTTGCTTATGTAGTATGTATACTTGTATAGGTTTGATTTATAAAGTATATTTATCTGAGTCTAGCAATTGAAGTAATATGTTTTTATGGTTTCTTTCAGTTTTGTGTTCTCATTTTACCCAAGACCTTTGGCCAGAGCAGAGCATAAAAGATTCTTTCCAAAAACTGATACTGAGAAGATATGAAAAATATGGACATGATAATTTACAGTTTAAAAAAGGCTGTGAAGGTGTGGATGAGTGTAAGGTGCACAAAAGAGGTTATAGTGGACTTAACCAACGTGTGACAACTACCCAGAGCAAAATATTTCAATGTGGTAAATATGGGAAAGTCTGTCATCAATTTTCAAATTCAAACAGACATAAGACAAGACATGCTGGAAAAAAAGCTTTCAAATGTATAGAATGTGGCAAAGCTTTTAACCACTCCTCAACCCTTACTACACATAAGAAAATTCATACTGGAGAGAAACCCTACAAATGTGAAGAATGTGGCAAAGCCTTCAACTGGTCCTCACACCTTACCCTCTTACCTGACACAAGGCAGTAAAGACCTAGGACAATCTCATCAAGAGTTAACCATCTTGTATTCAGGATTCTTTGCTAAGCCTTATTTCCTGTGAAATCTGAGAAGAGATATAGCGGATCCCTTGGAAGTATAAGGCCAAGATATCTTGATAAAGGAAAGGAAGGCTTTCTGCAGAACATCTTTGTGTTCTGTGAATCATCTCACAGAGTTACAGCCTTCCCACAAGAAGCCTTTCGCTAAAAGACAGTTCCTTGTGGAAATTGGCAAAAGTGATAGTTTGGAAAGCCGTAAAGAGGCCTATGGTGAAAAGGATATCCCTCAAGACGAAAATCTGGGAAGAAGCTTTCTGAAGAAAAACCTGCTTAGTGTCTGTTAAATTATCTACAGAGTTAGCATCTGGTAACTTTCGTGGCGCATCTCCCTCTGCTAGCCTTTTTCTGTGGAATCTGAAGACAGATTTTCCGGATCCCCTTTGAAGAGTAAAGGGCCAAAAGGAATTCTTCCAGATAACAAAGAAGAAAAGACTTCCTGGGAAGTTCTTTGTTTTGTGAAATCATCTCCAACAGAGTTAACAGCTTTTCCCTCAAAGAAAGCGTCTCGCCTAAAGGCAAGTTCTTGGAACTTGTCACCCTGCATATTTGAAAGCTCATAAGAGGGCTATGGTGAAAAGGAATATCCTCCGAAGGAAATAGGAAAAAAGAAGCCTTTCTGGAAGAAACTGCCTTAGTGTTCTTTAAATTCATCTCCACAGAATGGTTACCTCTGTATTCTCATGGATCTCTTTCCTACCTGATGTTGTCCTGTCTGGATCTGAAGATCCAGATATTTCGTATCCCTGTTGAAAGACTAATAGGGCCCATACCGAAAATATCGTCTGATACTAAGAGAAAAAGAAGCTTTCTGAGAAAAAACTTGTTTGTTCTGCCCCGCTGCCGAAATCTCTCCACAGAGTTACAGCTTTCCCCTCCAAGAAAGCCTTGTGCTTAAGACAGTTCTTGTGAAATTGGCAAGTGTGATATTAGGAAGCCCTAAAGGGCTATGGTGAAAAAGGAATAATCCTCAGAAATGACAATCTGGAAGAAGCTTTCTGAAAGAAACCCCTGCTTAGTGTTCCTGTTAATTCATCTCCAGAGTTAAACATCCTGCATTTCGTGGGTTCCTTGCTTCGTTATTTCCTGGTGGAATCTGAGAACGTTTTCGGTCCCTTTAGACTATAGCCAAAGGAAAATATCGTCCGATACAGAAGAGAGCTTTCTGAGCAACTTCTTTGGTTCGTGAAAATCCAATCTCACAGAATGTTACAGCTTTCCCCTCAAGAAACATTTCGGCTACGACCAGTTCTTGGTGGAATTGGCAAAGTGATATTTCGCAGGCCCATAAACACACCGCGCCGCATGTGTAAAAAGGAAATATCCTCAGCTGAGATCTGGAAAGAAGCTTTTTTGCAGAAAACTGCCTTTAAGTGTTCTGTTAATAATCTCACCAGCAGTTAACGATCCCTGTATTTCGTGAAATCTCCTTGTAGCCCTAATTCTGTGGGAATCTGAGAACATGATATTTCGGATCCATTTGAAGAACTAATAGGCCAAAAGGAATATCGTTGTCCCGAAAACAGAAAAATAGAGTCTTATGAGAAACTCTCTTGTTTTCTGTGAAAACATCCCACGTTCAGCCTTTAACCTCCCAAGAAGCTTTCCTAAGGAAAGCTTCTTGTGAT